TGGGCATTTTAACCCAAAAACAGGACCATTTGGTCCTGCCCACTTGCGTAAGCGTGAGTGAGAAATACCCCCACCTGCCACGTTCCACGCAGACAGGGCTCAATCAACTCGAAATGATTATGGAAGTCGTGTGGGCCCGTTGTAATGGGGATTTTCTGGTGTACCATAAACAAGCCAAATCCCGCGATTCTACCACCCTTAGCCAATGTTCCCTCCTACACATTTCTTATTTTTCCCGATTTTTCTGACTCCATTTCCACCTGATGTTTCCCCTTCTTATTGTTCTTTCCTTATTTGTCATTACCGGACTCTTCCGTGATACCGTGACCAGCTGTATAGTTAGCTAGACAGTGAGGAGTAGCGGAATCCACTCCCAGTCAAACAAACCTGTGCAAGCAACCACTCCAACCCTCCCCCTCTCTTCTGTCTCGAGTCTAGTGGTGATAGACCCGTTACACCGTATTGAGAAGAAACTCGAGAAACGTAAAGAGACTACATTCGAAGATGAACGTAGGAATGATGAGCTCGACGAGCTCAGGAATAAGTATGAGATGCTGCAGAATGAGGCCAACAACCTGTGTTCTGAAAACGACCGTCTTCATCGACAGATCGAATCCCTCTGAAAAGCCAACAATGAACTCAATGAGGATGTCTTTAGAGTTGCGTGCACGGCAAGGGGACGCCCTGCATCTCCCAAACCCACCCCGATTCAATCTTCTGCTCCCTCGTCGTCATGGCCCACTGTTCCCCAAACCATCATTATCCCTGGGGTTGGCCCGGTGGATCCTGCGTCAGCCAAGTCTGCACTGTTGAAGAAAACCACCTCTTCCAAGAGATGGGCTCCCACGTCCGACGATGACGAGATGGAAGGCAAATGGGTCGTCGACCCTGATGCCCCCTTCGAAGAATTCATTGCAAACCATCCACCTGGCTACCACTACTACAAGTACTATGATGCCAAACTCACTGAAGTGCATGGTGAACCCCTACCCCCACTGACATATTGTTGATCGGTGGCCCTTCCTACCCACTTCTACGACATCGACCATGTCGATAGAATCGAATTCCCAGACGCAGCTGCACTCCTCTGTGACAAAGAACCTAAGTGGATCAAGTTGGTTCAAAACTACATACACACCAAAGAAGGTGTGAGATTCTACGCTACAATGTACCATCTTGCCTGGTCGTTCAAGACGGGCAAGAGGACGTCGACACCTGTACCGACTGGTACAGGGTGGCTACAAACAACCACGCCTCACAAATGCACATGTCATGCGACAACATTGAGACAGAAGCGAAAAGACTTCCTGACCAGTACCCCCTGGCTCATATTGCACGGATGTACATCCTGGCATGTCGATGGATAAAACCAATGACTGACGACGCTCATGAGCGTCGTAGAATTCAATGTCAGGAATGAGCACTTATGTACTCGAACCCTCCCCCAATGTCGTACTCAAACCCACCTATGATGTACGTGAGCCCACACCCTGTGGCATATTTGAACGCCCCACCTCCACCGCAATACCCCCTCCGACATATGCACACTCGTCGGTGTACGAATCCGCCCACACATGCTCCCTCCACTTCTCATGGACGCGGCCATCCCGTGCACCATGCCCATTACTTGCACCGTCGTCAAGACGAGGATTTGTCCATGAACAACACTGACGTTGAGACTCATCACTACGATGACAACTATCTCAGCGACGATGTCGCTGTCGATGCAGCTAGGTCCACAACGACTCATAGGACTACGTCTAATCGCCCATCCGGCTCTGGCCTGTCCGGGTCCGCACTGCATAAACGGATGAGGAACTGATCCCCTCATATCCATACCTTCATCAACGACAATGCCATCGTTGATTAATAACTTCTTACCTTCATCAATGACAATGCTGTCATTGATTGTCTATTTTGTACCTTTCCTTTTTCATCAACGACAACATCGTTGATTATTCATTTTCTTCGTCGACGACAACTCTCCCGTCGATGACCTCCACTGTCAACATCATCACGGTGGGTGATGGTATTTAATAAACTCACAACGACGAGAAAGTCATTTCATCATCGACAACTCTGTCGTCAAGATCTGGGTGTCAGAGGCCAGATTGAGACGAGGGAGTGTCTCCATGGCGGAGGGCTTCGGCCTCAGTGACTTATGCCAGGAGCGCTGTGCCAAGTAACATGTCCATGCCCTAACTTACTAAACTAGCAACCAGAACTGAAGGGGGGTAAACTCTAATCGATTTTATTACTGAGGTGTAACCTATGTACAAGTTGAGTATATATATAGTTACAACGAGGGTGGGTCCGCAAATGGTGGAGCCGAGCGGAGCGGAGCTAACAGGGTTAGACATTAGCCGATTGAATATTACCGATGAGTTGGGTTATGGGGTTAACGGAAAGGTAGGTGAAACGGAAAGGAGGGATAGGCCCGAAGGTGGGCTTTGCAGGGCAAGCGAGTGTATTGCCCAGCGGAGGCGGGAGTGCGCTAGCGGATGTCAGAGCTGTCCGGAAGCCTTTGGGGCTCCATACTTAGGGAGGCATAGGTAATAAATTGAAAGGAGGGGGTGGTGACCATTGAGGGGTACCGAGGTGATTGCGGAATACGGGAGCTCCGAGGTTAGTGAAGAAGGACCGGAGGTAGACTGGAGGGATCTGTCAGGACACACACCCTGACTAGCCCGGACCCGGACCCGCGTCCGGACCCGCTTCCACCTGCCACACTTCCCACACGCACGCACGCTCCGCGTGCCGCATGCTCCGGACCCGGTTCCTACCCCTTCATGTGACTTCCGGGTATCCCCGGAAGTTTTGCTGATATTGTGGCCACTGTGGGAAGATGAGAAGTTAGCTTCCTTCTCATCTCCTTACCCACAGTAGGCAAGTGTATTCTACATTGCCTTGATCTATTCATCTCCTTACCCTCAGTAGATTGGGCCCTGGATAGGGCTGGCCAGACCTGAGGCTGTGGGCCATAGGGGAGGGTCATGGGGACCCGGGAGTCGTCCCCTGACAGGATCGGAGGGAGTGGAAGTCAATGGCCAGGGATGGATATGACACTGGGTGCATATGTTCCAGGAGAAACTCTAAGTGGGCTTTGCCTACAAACTACTATTATAGCCTCCTGCAATGAGTGTGCCCCCATTTGCATACGACTTTCATATGTAGAACATTAAAATTTTATTTCTTTAAAATGCTTGGTTTCCTCTTGTGTATATATGCTTGTACCCTGTCTGCGATTTAATATCGCAAGGGAGGAGGATGTGAGGCCCCAGCCCATGTCTATATTCTGCCCACAACATCAGTTGATGTTGTGCTGTCTAATAATTATGTCGCGATGCTAATTTAGCATCACAGAAGCTTCTCTATTTATTTGTGCCGAGAATGCATTAGATTGTATATAAACCCTCGGGGTAGCTGTAAAAGGCAGATCAGCATTGACTTCTACCCCGTTAATATACAGCATATCAAAGCGTATACTTAGATGGACCAACTGAGGCCAGAGGTGAATGGGGGAACAGAACGTTACCGTCCCCAAAATAGTAAGATCCCTTTCACAAACTCTCCCATCTTACTAACACTCAGTGATTCCATACTATTGAAAACCCCTCACAATGCTTGTTTTGCCTCATTAATACTTCATTTGCACAATCTTCATTTCATTCAATATTGCAGCACCACTAGTGTCCCCTTGTCAAAGTGCAATGAGTTCTCTGCAAGTAAGTAGGCCTGCATCACCAATGAAGTTTTGCACACTTGTATATACAAGCCAGATTTGGCCTATTAGGGCCCAACATAACTTATACATCAGCTGGGTCTTGATTTGTCACTTTGGCCATGACATTTGAGCGATGGAGATCAAAGTGCAGGGGCCACTATCATTTGACACTAAGCTTCGAGTCCGCTAAAAGTTTTAAACATTAGGGCCATATCAACTGCAGCCTCACCATTAGCTTCCCTCCCTCCCTTTCCTCTTTCAACTTTTCACAATGACACTGCTGCCTCTCTCTGGCCCCTTCTGTTTCATGGCTTTCAATTGGGAAGCAACACGCTCTGCCTCATGCTGCTCAAACTCTGCCAACTGTTGTTCTCTGAACTCTTCCAGAGTTACATAATGGAAAAAATTCAGAAGCCCCTTCCCCTTATCCTCTACCTGAATGCTAAGATCCAACTTCCGCTTTTTGCCCTTCTGCTGACCACTGGCTGGGTTTAGTTCCATACATGGCTCTGGGTCCAGTGGGTGATTCAACATTTCTATTTGTGGACTCGGACTCTAGTTTATTTAATCATGGTGAGTCGACATTACCTTGCTTGCAAGGTCACTTTGGAGTCCACAACTACATAATGTGTTCTCTTTCCCACCATGTTTATATTCTTCTCCCTTGCACATGTGCCTTTCCACAGCAACGTCACGTTCCTCCTTTGTATCTCCCACGTGTACTCTTTTCCCTGACTTCGATCGCATCGATCTTTGCTTCCTCAACTGTTTTTCATTTGTATATTCTTTTCCTACTAATTTTATAATTTTCCCTATTCTGATACAAACTTCTCTTACTTAGCCTGTGTTTCTATGTTTTTCTGTTCCAACCGTTCATCCTCCTCAGCAAGCACATCACACGCAGGCTGTCTGAATAATTTCTCGTCGAACTCATGCAAAAGCTGTATTGTGTCCCTTCCTGAGCTCTGTGATAACGCCACATATGCGTTAAATGGCGTTAACCCTCCTGTCGGTGGTGGTGCTAGATCTATCATCACATGCTTGATCATCTGCCCCCGAGCCCTGTAATCCATGAATGCATATGCACCTGTCATCAGCAGTTGTCGTCGTTTCACTGTCCGTGTTGCTCCATCTCTCAAAGTGATGCGGTAGGTGCACTCCTCTGCAAAAATTGGAACGACTCCCTTTTCTAGGTCCCCAACCCTCGAACTACAAATCCACATCAGCAATCCCTCCTGTGATACCCCTAATTCCACCTTCTGCTCATATCTTATCTATGCATCCTCTACCATCCAACGACGAGCTGTGTGGACGTCTCGACGGCATCTATCTTGGCAACGCGAACATTGCTTCTGAACTGCAGTGGACCCAAGCTCGCCGATGCCTCATACTTATGCGGAAACCACTTTCTGCTGCACAGATCCCTCCACCTATCATGCTACATGGCTGCTTCAAAATTGTTCGAAACCCGTTCTACCTGTTCCCCAATGGTGGCTTCAATAGTGACCACCATAGGTCAGCGAAAACCTCGGACAAAGATGCTATGGGAAAAACTAACACCTCCGCATGGCTTGAGCGCGTTCTGGACCCAACGCTGCTTGGATATGAGGATTTTCCCATGTATATCAGTAACCTGAAGGCTCTAGAGGCTCTTGTCTGTTCTGGTCAAAAATCACAGTACTCCATTATTACGGATGGGGGCTCTCTTGGCCATGAAGTTCAAGTCATTCACCGAATGTTCAAGGTAAGGGCATCCAATCAAGTCTTTTCCTTTTCATAGGTTATTAAGCTAACTTTGACACAGTCTGTGTGGGACAATGCCAAAAAGTCCCCCCCATGCTACAGTTAAGGGTTGGTTTCTTCCAGTTTCACGTCTTATCACTCTGACCACAATGGCTTGCTTATTTGACATTAGAAAAGGCTCAAGATCATTATGAAAGGATACCTCATAGCCTTGACGAAAACACAGAGAGTTTACAAACTCACCAATAACTTTTCTTTAATTATGTTGGTGATAGGCCCGGTATCCACATCAAGCGCTCAAACCTCAGGCTCTAAGAAAACTGCGTCTAGGGTGAATGCAGATCAAAATCCAAACACACGTGCTGTGATGGAGAATATACCAGGTCCCCCACATGTCTACAAAAGTAAGTACAGGTTTCCGACACTTGACAAATATCTCACCCTTTCCCATTGTTACAAGACCAAGAACAGACACCCCTAGGCCAGATTATTGGTCTTACAGAAACAGGGCCTCATGTTCTTGTCCTGGCCACTCCGTCACCAAAGGGAAAAAGTAAAAGTACTTTAAAAATAGCCATTTCACTTCTAATACAACAGTACAGGTACAGAAAGCGATGACAGCGAAAGCGACTTGAAGGGTCTCATTTACAACGATGAAGAATCTGGTGTGATTCTAATTTCAGACCTTACACACTAATGAACTAACTACCTCTTCCCATAAAGACAAGGAATTCCTGACTGCAGAGTTCAGACTTGAACACTGGTCCATGTCAAACATCAACACACCCATCCGAGACTGCATGGTGGAAAGCAAAGGATGGCTCACAAACCCGCTACGTGCGTATCATGAAGGAAGCATGCATGTAATCCTGCCATCAGAATATGAAAGTGCTCTCCGAGGATCCACAGTTCAAATCTCATTCACTTTGTCTTGCCATCTAATTGGAGGATGTGAAGGAAAGCACGCAACCTTCACAGCAAACATTGGTGAAGTCATTGTGTTGAAGGAACCTGAGGTGCTGCCAAGTTACTGAGCAGAGAATGGCTCTCCCACAAAGCGATTATATGCGGGGCCTTCGTTTTCCCCAGCAAAGCGGCAAAAACATAAATAGGTAACCGATATGCATCAATGCCAGGTATCAATGCTACGTTCAAGAGCGTTTTGACGGTGGACTCCCTCCTCTTCCTACGCTCTTTAATCTTGTACCTGAAGAAATTCAACACTGCTAGCGCTATAGACTTATGTCATGAATTCAACTGAGGTAAACCAGGTGACTGGACAAATGACATAAAATGGACAAGCCTGGTATCGAACCCAGGACCTCTAGCATGCATCCATACACTACTTGCCCGTTATGCCAGGGAGGTTACTCCATCCCTGATGGTTATTCCAACAGTACCGTATGGACAGGCCATATTTATTCATGAACAACACACTGTTCACTCATACCCTCTTTGTTTTTCGGATCCTATATTTATGCAGCCATCTGGCTATCTTTCTAACTCTACATGCTCGTTGCATCTCATAGTTATATTCAATGTCTATTCTTCTGCTGATTGCCCCAATTATTATTCAATCTTGTGAATGAATTGTGCCTGCGAACCATATGCGCATACAGAACCTGGTCTTGCAAGCAAGGTCAGGGCAGCGCAGCAGCCATTCTAGTGCAACTCTGACAATGGGATTTACTCACTTTTGCTGTATGGTGATTGAGGATGGACATCAAGCCATCAATACACATATTGATGGCTTCATGGCTCACATGGAGGGGATGTTTAGGAAGGAGGTAATGCATCAGGGAATTCAGTGCGAAAAATCCACATGATGAGACATCATTTTGATAGCCAACTGGTAGGGGCATAATAGGGGGTTTCACGGTTGACTGAAGTCGGCTAAACTGGATCTAAAATGAAATTTCTGAAGTGACACATGAGCGACAAAACTGGACCTAAACTCGATCTAAACCGACCACTTTGACTTGGGGCTTGGGAGCCCCAATTGGCCTGAAGTCAAATTTCTAAGTACATCTGAACTCGGCCTTACCGCTTACTAAGTCCATAGACACTAACTGTACAGTTCTACCTTTCAGATCACCTGTCCCTTCTCTCCCTTCCACGGCACCATCATCATCTCCACCACCGACCTCACCCCATCACCTGTCCCCTTCGTCGCTGCTTAAGTCCACGTTGCCATCATGCCCCCCAAACGCAAGAATCCTGAGGAGGGTCAAACCACACCATCTCAGCCACGGTCTGGGCGCCGCTCACGCACTACCAAGGATGATGAGTCCACCACCATTCCCATCATCAAGGCTGAAACCAAACCTGAGCCTCACCCCCCAAAGATCCAATGGGATTCCAATGAACGCTGGACAGACCGCCTCATTGAATACCTCACAAACCACCTAGATGCACGACTCAAGATGTTCAGCGACTCTGTCAAGGATGCAAAGAAGGAGTCGCGCAAAAAGGTGAGCCCCCAATGTGGTAGCACCAGCTCTCATCATTCACATTCACCTAGGTTGTTGGTAGCAAACCCAAGGTCGAATACTATCATGAGATAGCAAAGGCAGTCTTTGATGTTGGGGGTGAGGAAGAATGCGGTGCTTATTTAATGGAACCTGAGCGCTATGCAACTTCTGTCTTGGGTCGGATCACCTAGTAAGTCTCTCTTGTGCTGTCAGCTAAGGCCATCTCATATTTTCTCAATCACAGTTTACAGAAGACATATACTACATATCGCAAGACAATGCGGAACACTGGTGAAGGTCTGAAAGATGAGGATGAGAGTCAGTCCGAGGTGTATAGAAACCAGCTAGGTGAGGCGCTTATTAATTCCTTACATATGCTGCTGATATTTTCATCAATTTAAGAGAAGATTAAAGCATCTTTCCCTTGGTGGAACACACTGCATGCTTGGTGGTCGGAACATCCCAAGTATGCATTTCAAATGGTAACAAACTCGATGAGTGGTGCCGGAAAAATGGTAAGTGATTTGGAGCAAGCTGTCTCTGCTCCGCAGCAAGTCGCGGATGAGGCAAACACACCCTCCCATCCACCTCCTGAATCACTGTCTACTTTCCAACTTCCACTTCCCCATGTCAACTCCCCGCTCCCTTGGGCTGAACCGGCACCTCAAGCTGACCTGGGACTTCTTAATACCAACTCGCCACTTTTTCACATTGACATGCCGCTTCCGGATTTGCCACTCTCCCATCCAGACTTGCAGGCCCCCGATGTTAAGCCAAGGATGGATCTGGAAGACTCCAGTTCCTCCTCATCTCACACGCTTGCAAGGGCAGCCTCTGCATCAATCACACTGAACTCTAAGGTTGACTCCGCTCAGCAAGCTTCACGCACTCCAGGTCCAAAGGGAGCCCGGAAGGATTTTATTGCTGAATTTCATGAAGCAATGCGAGTTGACCAAGCACAAGCTCAACAAGAGGCTCAGTACTATCACACACAGCAGATGGCACGACTTGAACTCAAGAAAGAGAAGATGCGTCACAAGTACGAAATTGAGTCCCTCAAGCTCCAGCTGCAACTTGCACAGGTACGGTCACAACAGCAACAGCAGCGGCCGCAACAACAACAACATCCTGTCCCAGACTTTGCGATTTTTTAGTCTACCACTGAGTTTTCACGTCCTCATGTGTGCCACAATCAGCAGTACATTTGTGTCAGGGCCCGGCCTCGGACTCGGAGGCTCCCTGACCTCAACCCCCATCTGGCCTGTCCTCACACTATGCGGGGCATGAGATGTATAGTAAAAGAAAGGAATATATACACTTGCCTATGCGGGGCATGAGATGAGAAGAAGGGTAAAGGTCTCATCTCCCCGCATGGTTGCTATATAAAGGAATGGGTCACATGCCCACAACTATACAGCTCCTAGAGTTGTGTAGTGTGACCCGGAGGGAACATCCAGGTGGCAGTGCCCAGTAAGCGTGGGAACGTTCTGGGCGAGTTGCTCGCCCAGAACTGTGGCTGTGACCCGTGGGAACATTCTGGGCGAGCTGCTTGCTCAGAAAGTTCCCACGCTATCCCATGCGCGCACGTGTACACAACACACAAAGGCAACAACAAGGCAACAGTCAAAGAATAAAAGGGGGTAAAGTAGGTGGGGAGTCCGGGGCACCCTAAGGCAGGGTGCTGAACCCTGACAATTTGAAAATAAATACATGTTAGTACAGTGCATCAAAGAGTGCTTCCTGTACGTGTCAGCGCTTCTGCTGCGCTTCTGATTCTCCTGGCAGTGGTGGTCCTGCTCCAGCCCACATGAAGCCTTCAACAGGTTCGTCCTCCTCTCTCTCCTCTTCACCACTCCGACCCTCTTCAACCCATTCCCAAAAATCGCTCTCATACTCCTGATCTTCAATGCATGCTGCAAATGAGTGAACTATTAAACAAGTGCGCACCCATGCGAGTGCAAGCACATAGTCACGCTCCGAGTTGATTTGTTGACGGAGACTGCACAGTGACTGAAATCGTCCTTTGAGGTAACCTACCGCATGTTCTGACCTTATACGCACCTGGGTTATAAAAGGACATTTAATTTGTAAATAGTTACCAGATATCCAACATACTGTTGAGAGATGGTAGTTGAATTGTCGATTTGATGAAATGAGGGATTGTGGGCGCTTATAAGGGACCATGCACCACAGCAATAGGGCATATGCGGAGTCGCCCCACAACCACTCACCCTCACGAAAAAGTCGGTCCGACTCTGTGAATGTGTGGGATTCCTTGAACGCAGTCGAATCATGCATACTCCCAGGAGGGCCTAACACATAGTCAATGATGCGAAGATTCGGTAATGTTATGAGCTAGAAGGATATCATCACCAGTAATCCGCAGACAAAAAATACACGCACTGTGAGACTAAGGGAATAGTTAGACTTACGATCAAAGAACTGCTCCCCGAAATGTCCAGGTTTAGACGCAAGAGGGATGAGAGTGCCGTTGTAACGGGTCTATCGCCTAGACTCGAGACAGAGAGAAGGGGGAGGGTGGTAGTGTGCGCGGGTGTGGTTCGTTGGGCCGGGTTTTGGTCCGTGGGTGCTACCGAGTCTGCAAAAACCTCAAACAAACACTCACCTACGTCTCTCTTGGATGTCAAGGCTGAGGATTCTGATAAGAGGGGTCTTAGACGTTATCAACTAGCTCAATGGGGGCGTTAGGGTCGTGGATGGCGTCTTTGCCACTTGGATGCAACTTCTGCTTGTCCCTTCACGGGTCTATTCAATACTAACTTGTTATGTACAAGCTGCTATCTAGTTTATATATGTTTGAAATGGAATGAATGGCATGGGGGAATGTAAACGGGCCGTTAGGCAACCGTAAATGATGAATATCCAATTGGGAACAAAGAAACAATAAGAGAAATATGAATGAATGGGGGATATATCATAACGGGTCCGAAATGGGAAATGTAAAAGTTAACTCTGCAACGCTTCGCCACAGCGCCCGCCTATCCTCCCGTCAGCAACCTCCTCGTCTCCAGCTTTCCAACGAGCCCCTATTCGTCCCATTTGGTGCAGTAGTTGTTGAGATGTGGCCATTGACAGGTGCTGTCAAGACCACATGAGACTCTACTCCGTGCTGAACCATCCAGGCATGGGATTGCCATTCTGGGAAATGCTCCGGGGGTGAAGAAGCAAGGTAGAGCATCACTATCGGGTGGGACAATGGCTGGGTTGTATGTGTAGGTATGGAGATCTGGAGAGGGGGTGAAATTGGCGGCGTGGTTGGGCGTGGGAATTTTGCTTGGGGTTGTCGGGAATGATGGGGAAAATAGGGAAAAATAAGGAATGAGTTTGTGGAGTGTTGGATAGTGATATAATGAACATCGGGAGCGTCAGCGGATATGTACTGCGTGTTGGTGACCAAATTCCGCAGAATCCGACTTTTTGCGGTACACGGAGTTGTCCCCACAACACCGTCAACCATACAAAAACCGGGCCTCCATGCACGACAAGACACACTGCCCCAGCACTACAACCTGCCCATTGTGCAATTGCATCAACAGATGCTGCATTGCCGAAATGTCCGAGCCGATACAGTGTGACAGCAAGTTGGTATGCGATGGGCCATTGGTCATTTTGAGAACTATTACGAAAGCAGGGGTGGTCCTGGATGAGGGAGAGGAGAATATCGAATGTGTGAGGTGAGACGTGGAGATTTCGACGAAAGCGGGAGGGGTCATCATCTTTATAACACACAAGAATGAGCCCTAGCTGACTACATTTGGGAACCTCATGTGGATAAAGGACATGGGTGGATAGTTGCGTGGAGAGAAAATGTCACATGCGAAACATGGACTGGAAATATGAATCATGGAGGGACCGCAGTGCTCGGTCATGTTCAGCACCGGAGGATAAATCAGATGGATGGGAGTTGTTGCTGTTGCTGTTGTTGTTGCCGTCACTGTTGTTGTCGCTGCTGCTGCTTGTTGTCAACGTGGAGGTTGTGCTGGTACCATTGTCACTAGAGTCGCCAGAGTCAGTACTGGGACTAAATGAGCTATTGAGGCTCAGTCTCAGACGTCGGAGTCGGTGGTAGTAATGCGTGCGCAGTCGATGGCTATGCTGGATGGCAGCATGGATGAGACGCTGGCGATCAGAAACAACAGGCATTAGAACTTCACAGTAATTACATAATACAGAGGAGACAACGTGATGACGGACTTACAGGAGCCAGGACCGAGGTACTTTAGACACACTTTAGATGACAGTACTGTGAACGCCCATTGGAAAATTCCTGAACTGGGCCTGAAGTCACTCTGAACTCGGGTTGCACGTGAGCCAAAATTTGGGCCAATCTAGACGCAATTTAGAACTCATTTCAGACACACTTCAGCCAACTGTGAAACCCCCTAATCTGGAATGGGTGTAGTGTTTGGCCCGATGTTGAATAGGATGCTGTGAGCCACCAATGAAGTGTCTCAGCAGCTTGTTTCACTGTTGATGATTGTTCATCATGATCCTTCCCAGTCAGTCCACATAATGAGTCACCAAGGTAAATAGTTGATTCATGGGAAGAGATTACAAATGAAATCCAGTGATTGCCATCAACATGGAGAATTCCACCAAATGTGGAAGCAGTGCCATGCACAAGATCCATCCCAAGTTGATGGAGGGCTTCACAGGTATGTTCACTTTGATACCTTTCCAGTGCTTTTTGACCCCCCTTGCTCTACACACCCTGAAAGATATTAAATGTCCAGTGGGCTCATAAGCCTTGCCATGGTATTTTCAGTCTCAATTCAGTCATGCAACAGTTCAGTGTGGTAGGAAATGTTGGTGGTATTGTGTCAGGGACAGCTCCAAAAGTGGCAAGGTCCCAGTGCATGGGACTCGATGGGATGAATAGCAGCTATGCATAGCAGTGGTCCCATCATGGGGTGAGCATCCCTGACCACTTAGTCTGAAGTGGGAATGTGAGAAGAAGGCTACTTCTTCAGTTCCCACTCCAGCTGTTATTATATGTATAATGCAGGATTGATCACGTGGGGTGTGCCATGTCACCCTTGCACACAGCTGTGGCTCTCTGGGTGTTTCCATGGGAGATCCTGAGAGGGTCCGCTGTAGGCACAAGGTGAGCACAGCAGCGGTGACAGCGATATAGGGATGGTAGGTACAGGAGGGGGAATGTGCATGTGCACTGGTGATACAATGAACAGTGGGAAAGGTGGTCCATGTAAGAGAGAGAAAGAAAGAAAGAAGAAAGAAAGAAGAAAGAAAGAAGAAAGAAAGAAGAAAGAAAGGGGAAAGGAAGAAGAAGCAGTGTGGAGCAGGGGTCAGGCAGGGCATGTCAGGGTGTGCCCTGACATATTGAGACAGGAAGTAGATAGATGACACATCAAACCCCCAATGGAGCTTAGTGTCAGGGCACACCCGCCTGACCTGGTACCCCGCTGTCCACCCCTCCTCACCTCCTCCCCTTCTTCCTCTCCCTCTTCTCATTTCTGTTTCCTCACTCTTCCTATTTTTACTTCCTCTTTATTTTCTCTTTATTCCACATGGATGACCTTCCTTTGTATCAATGTACCATTGACCCATCTGCAGCGCACCCATGACACACCCAGCCCAGGCACCTCAGGTGACTCCCTGCTGTGCTCAGCACACATGCTCACACTGGATGCCCTCAGGATCTCCCATGGAGACACCTCGGTGGTTACAGCTGTGTGCAAGGGTGACATGGCACCTGTCATGTGACCCAAGCCACATGTATATAAATGAACCTGAAGTGGGAACCGAAGAAGTAGCCTTCCTCTCAACTTTCCACTTCAGTCTAAGTGGCCAGGGACTACTGTCCCATGTTGAGCTTGTCAGTACGCACACCCGGTCCGCACCCTGCTGTCAGGGCACACCCGCCTGACCCCACGCCGCACCCCGCGCCGTACCACACTACCCCATCACCACTCCCCATCTCCCCTCCCCCATTTTCCCCCTTCTCTCTATCTCTATTTCTATTTCTATTCTACGGTCAATTTCCCTTTCTCCATGTACTACTACATACCTGACCCTGCCCCCCTGATCGCCGCACACGCCACGCACACTCCCGCCTACTGAGCGGCCACCTCCGGGATCTCCCGCGGAGACACCCAGGGAGGTGCGGCTGTGTGCGGAGATGACGTGGCTTCCTCCACGTGACCCTGGCCACATGTATATAATAGTGCCTGGGGTGGGAACAGAAGAAGCAGCCTTCTTCTCAACTTCCCACTTCAGGTAAGTACCGTAGCTTTTCCCTTTTAATGATAATCATCAACTTCCCACTTCAGACTAAGTGGTCAGGGACGCTCACCCTGCGACGGGATCGCCGCTACGCACAGCTGCTACTTGTCCCACCGAGTCCCACGCGCAGGGACCTCGCCGCTTTCGGAGCTGTCCCTGACACTTAGCATTGATTTTGGAAACCCCTGGATCTTGCTATTCCATGGGAATGATGAGAGCCTTTTTTGGGTCACTACAATAGCTGACTGCTGTGTGGGGTACTGGGCCACAAGCCTTGCAACATGAATCATCCATTCTTGCCACAGATCCTGGACATCATGCAGCCTCAGCAAGGCTTTCCCAACATGGAGAATTGCAAGTGGAAAGTAGTCAGAGCTAATGTTCACCGAAGAGAACTGGATGTCATCATTGATATAATTTTGAACAATTGATTTTTCCATTAGAGGATGCAGAGGCCATTGCATCCTCTGGAGGCAATCCTGAGATAGCTCATTGATAGAGGGTGGCTTGTGACTAAGGGATGAGTTTAAGGCCTGGAGGTTGGTTGAACCGAAGAAAATCTGCAGCAGTCAGGGTTTCCTTGGGAAGGAAGGGTCCAATTAGATTAGTTGGGATGTGCACATATGATATTGGTTCCTCAGTATGAGATGTGATCCAGTGTGCAAGAGCAAAGCCATCCATCTGGCACTTCATGGATTTTGCAGGAGGGCAAAATGCAATTTTTTGGAGTTAAAATTTATGGTGGCTGTCAAACATGACTTGTTGAATAGAATCAGTCATGCCTACCCATTTAAATTATATTCTAGGCAACTGCTGGCTGATTCTCACTTTGTGCCTGTGGCCAGCTGTCATGCACCACCAGTGGCTTGAGGCCGACTCTCCCATGTCATGCTCCAACATCAGCAAAAGGTCCTCAGGGTTTCACTTCAAATGGTTTGAAAACAATTGAGTTCACCTCTGAACTGAATTGAAACGTGACACCTTTACTAAAATGCTTTGGGAAATTGGTCAATTCAGCCAGTTTCATTGTATTAGAAGCAACAGGATCATCAGAAGTGTCCAAAGTTGACCGTGACAATTTCCTGATGAACCCCTTGCAGCTCTTGGTCATGTGGGTACAGTAGTTTGCTCCAACGGAGCGAATGGTCTGAACAGCCACATTCCTGTGGTAGCATAACTACTTGGTTGCAACACCTTTTCCTTCTTACTTATTTTGGTCATTTCGGACTTGGCTGTGAAGGGAACAAACTATATTCATTCATTTGAATTAGTTTCTTTTTGTTGAAATTCTTGTTTCTTGGTACGCTGTGGACCGACCATTGAATACAACGGACTATATTTCTTGCGCACGGACATTTCCTTGTAGGATTGCCCGATGCTACCGTTTATGGCGACCATGTTGATGGACGCAGTCGAGGATGGCTTAAAAGCCGCCTCGCGCAATTTTTCCTCTTCTCTCCTCAGTTCACGTACTTGGAACTGAGGTGAGATATCTATCTCTTTGCGTCTTGTATGTCTTTCTGATGATTGTACATACTACCCTAGCGCTTATACGCGACTAGGTGATTATCAATCTTATTAGTTCACGTACTTGGAACTGAGCGCTTATACGCGACTAGTTCATAACTTCAATACTTTTTCCCTCAGTTCCCGCACATATAGTGAGACTGAGCTTTAGCATTAGAGCAAGCAGTTATTCCGTTACAAGCATGAGAAGTGTCGGTGATGCCCATGATTGAGGCAGAGAATTACCCTGCACCACATGCACCACATGGCCGTTGATATCTCGTGACCTAAGTGGTTTGCATCCGCGTGCCAGCCGCTACTGGACTGAACAACCTTGCCCCTGGTGAGCAGGTGCTTCGGCTTTGGCCAGACGGCTGTTTGTGCATACCCCACGATTGTATTGATTCCCACGGGGGTGGGTGTGGTCAAAACGGGTCAATACATAGTGCAGTGGCCTTCACGCGGGTATGATGAGAATAAGGTGCATACCCGAAAGCCACTGTGCGTTGAACTTCCAACAATGCCAATATATACACTCACGCAGGTCCATCAATATACATTTTAATAAATAATTGGGTCCAAAGCATTAGAGATTCTGGTTGCCACATTTGCATCAGGTTCGAAATATTGGAGCCATCCTGGTTTGGTTACGACTTACATAATGCCAATTACTGTCGCATCTAGGTATAATATTTAGGCAAGAGCCTGCTTCAAGGACTGACAATCAAACCAAAGATCTCCCCTTGTTTTTCGACCTCAAGTACTGTCTTTACGCCTCACATATTCGCGACCCGTGAACGATCCTGCGTTTCTTTCCTCAACCATGAGTATCCCCTTTTTCGTATTCTTTCTTTTTTGCTGGTTGGCCCGAGTCATGGGCGGTCGTGTCGAGGTCAAGTTGAAAGGAGGGCCTAGCCCAGAGCTTGTCAAGGTTTCAAAATGCACGACGGTCGCTTCGGGCATCTTGAAGACCAGTACGCATCCTTCCCGCCACTATCCTGCTCCCATTCCAGTTTTGCACATTAATTTTTAACTAGCTACTGGCCACAATGTCTCCCTCTCCTCCGATGTCCTGACGTTCGATACGAACGGCATGGAAGTTGAGTTCCAGAGCTGCCAGCCTAACTTCGGGAATTTCAACGGCACGAACGGTAGCCCTGTAGGAGGTGCGTTCGCCCAACATGCTCATAGATCCACGGCAATCCTAGCCTCATCTGAATGCGTACGTTATTCCTGCGTACAATAGGCCACCTTAGGGTCAAATCGAACGGGGAATGTCTGAGTCTGCTTTCCCCATTAACGAATCCGCCATTTGCTGTTGTCTCTGCTCCTTGCTATGACTCCGACGACAGCGGGCAGACCTTCCTAAACGTTGTTCGGCAAAGTGATGGGAGAATATACTTCGTTGGAAAGTATGTGTCTTCAGGGGTTTCGTCAACATATACTCTTTTGATGATCTGGTATTTATGTTTTAGTACTCAGGTGAACGGGTCATGGACGTTCTTCCATTCTCAGTGCCTTTCTGGATACTTCGGTCCGTCTGGCATACCAACAAGCGGTGACGTTCAGCTTAATTGCGTCAAGAATGTTACTGGGCATGCAGTCGGTTTCACGGGCCTATTCGGTATGTTCCGCATACGCGCTCTTTGTGGCCTCTATTCTAAGTAACATGCGTCATAACTTTTAAACTCTACAATCAGAACGAAATTCAACACAGACCCTCATCCGATAGGCGAATAGCAGATTTGTGGCGTATCGCAACGGATCCTTAACTAACCCTGTCGCGGGGCTTGAGGCCCACTACAATTTCTTTTGGCATATTAGGTTACTTCTTCTTGCTTTCATTTCTAGTGCCATACTATATTATTCGCTCTGCAGGGACAGGCGGAAGGCACTCAATATTTCATCTAGTTGCTATCATTTTATCGCAATCTGAGCCACTCAACAATCGTTTGACTCCTTGAAATCAGTTCAATTCTTGAGTTTTGCCAAGGTGATCAGAGTCTCCATTGCACTTTCTTGATTGCTTCCTGCTAGGCTAGGACTCCTTGCGTTTGTCCCCTCGAACTTCGAGTCCATGCGTAATTATATAGTTTGTGATGCTCGCGCCGGACGATAGTTACGGTTTCAGCTCTGAATATACTTCAGTGGTAGATCACACAACTAATTACGACGGTAACTAGCGCTGAATGGTGCACGTTGTTGCAGCGTTATACATAAATAAATAAACTGTTGGAGATCAGCCTTGAATCATGTATTTACATATGCCTGTGTTGAGAATTCTACCTTAGCGATTCCACTATCATCTGGTCCGACACCGGCCCCATCTTGAATGTGGCATAAACATTCATCAATCTGTCGCCTTGGACAACTGATATCTAGACCTATAGAGGGGGGTTCTCAGGACGTTTGAAGAGGGCCTAGAGGCCTCTTTTGTATGGGAACATCCTAGGATGTCCTGAGACGTCCTGACAATTCACTTTCAATTCAAATGTCCAAGTAACGATGTCCTTAATTCACAGTCCACTTCTGGAGCTGTGTGCATGCAGAATCATGAGTTGGAGTAATAATACGAAATAAAGAGGCGATTGAGAGAAATTTATCGCAAAAAACCCGATGGCAAATGGTTGAGAACTGATGGAGAAATGTGTGATTCTCGGTTCACTCAACACCGCACGGGAGTGGTGTGCGTGGGAAATGACATGCAAGGTCAAAGTTCAGTGCCTCTCAGATGTCAAAAAAATACGAGAAAATATGTCAAGCTTACTTTGAGGACATGTATTGTAGTGCACAAACTTTCAGGACATTTGGACTACTATTCAGTGAGATAGGGGAAATGCACAATGTATTCCCCGCTCCTCCCATACTATCTTGCTCATTTCTCCACCATTTGGAATGAGACCAACTGCGTTGGAAAGCTAAGGTTTATTATAGTTGAATGGTGTAAAGTTAGAACAGTTATGGTTAGCAGTTGAGGCTTCCAACACAAGTTTGGGTTTCTGGCAGGCCACTTTCTTATTGTTCTGTCTTTTTCAATTTCTTTTATTAGTGTTTTCCATTTCTTAAACCCAATTGGAATGTTCTTGAAGCTACCATAGCATATTATTTCTGTTTGTTTCTACAGGGAAAGGTTCATACACCACAAAATAACTATTTTTATGGATTTTACACTGTAGCCCACACAGTGCACAGGCCCAGTCTTGCCTCCATTCGCACATCCATTTACGACCCACATTACTTGCTCTTTCCAATTTTCTTTCTATTTTTCTGAAACCATTTTCAGTTCCTAAGAGATTCTCATGCACAGCATAACTTTCAACTTCTTACTCAACGGTCTCCACAACTACACATTTATACCCAACGTTCTTATGCTCGATCGATAGAGCACAATTAGCTCTCCTACCATGCCCATTTTCGTGCTGAATGGACAAATATTAGTAGAGATTCTGATTCAACACCATGCTGAATCTCTGTGGACTTGACAGCACCTGTCAATGGTGGTACCTCAAGAACCACAGAGCCAATTTGAATAAAATTGAGCTTGTTGGAAAGCTGGAGGAGAGGAGAAGTTAGTGTGGCTCAAAAAAAGGCATGGAAAGGGACAGTTTGGTTTCGCGTCGACCTTCTTTCATATCAGGCTGCTCCAGCAGTATTTCCCCCATTTCTCCCCCATTTCTTCATCGATTTACACATATTTTGTATCATTGGAAAGCTGTTATCAAATTGAGTCGAACTAGTCTGTAGCGGAGAGATTTGGTTCAGCCGTTGTGGAGATCGTCAACTTTATTCATTGTGTTGCCATCAATTGGCATAACTTGCAAATATATTGACGAAAATGCCATCGATTTCTCTCAAACTTGGTACTATAGGAAGAATATTTTCCACGGGCACTCAGTATATTTTTTCATATTTTTAAGGCTCCTGAGAGACTCTGAATGTCGACTTTTTCCCTTTTCCCACTGTTCGGTGAATATTCATGACAACACATGTTAGAACTTGAATGTGGTAATATATATGCTTACATGCAACATAACATGTGTGTTCTTCATTCTGATACCTAGCTATAAGGTTATACATTTCCTTACAGAATGTTAGCCAGAGCTTGTATGTACTTGTAAGCAATGGATTTTCCAAATCAGTGGAGATTTGACAGAGATGCCAGCCTCGCAAGCTACCCATAGTAGGTGCATACCAGATATGGTTATCTACAATGGCTTGTAAAATCTCCAAAATCTTTATAAGCATTAAAAATCCCCTTGAAAGCACCATGGCAGAGTATAATCATTGAGAAACATTGGCCATACCTCAGCCCTAATTCCCTTAATATTTGATTATCTTTTCCATTTTCCTGTCTACTATTTATGTAAATAGCCATATGTACGACATCATGGGGCACATAGTTATCAGGACATCCTCAGATTTTCCCACAGTCCATTTTTGGCAGCAAGCCGCATCACCAGGATGTCCCAGGATGTCCACATTGAAATAGGCCATTTAGGCCCTATTTGAAGCGTAAAAAACACCCCTTGATAGGGTGGGTGAATTGGCTGACTAGCCTGAATCTGTACACATCCAGGTGGTCATCTTATTGTCCTGCTCATATGCATTTTCATAGAAGTGCCAAACAACCCATTCCTTGACTGCATGTACTAACCTACCAATGCAATCACACATTTTTCCTCTCAAACTCGGTTCAAAATGGGATAGCTTAGCCAGCGCTTTCTGGAGCTTTGCTTGTATGAGGATTAGGCACTTTACCACTTGCGGTTGTCAAGATTTCAACCCTGCCTGGATGCATGCCAGTTAATTGATAGAGCACACAGCATTTCCTATCTCAGTGGTGCAAATTGTGAGTCGGATTCGATGACTAGAGTGCATGCCTTTGCATGCGCTGACCTGCACTGCTTTTCAACACCCTTGTTACAAAAATGGGGCTGGAGGCACCCATTTTTGTCTGTCCTGGCACAGGAATAGGGAAGGGAATTCATGTTGGAGAATATAATATGTTCCCAACAGTATAGAGTTTAACAGCCTATACCGGCATGGCTTGTAGTTGCACCGGATACAATTTCGACATGGTGGACAAGACACGGTACATTCAATTTGGAGGCTAACACCCCAAATTGAGGGCGAGTGTTGGAGAATATAATATGTTCCCAATAGTATAGAGTTTAACAGCCTATACCGGCATGGCTCAAGGGCGAGTAGTGTATGGATGCACGCTAGAGGTCCTGGGTTCGATACCAGGCTTGTCCATGGTTTTATGTCCTTGCCACGTGACCTGGATTTGAAGCCATTTGAATTGGAGCTCCGGATAAGTCCAGTAGTTGCACCGGATACAATTTCAACAATTCATATGGTTGTACAGGTGGTTTCACAGATGTTTGGACATGATAGTGTGGCAGGGGTTTTTATGGTTGTAATTGATTGGTTCCACTCTATTACTATATAAATCATGTGATACAGAACCCATATGAGTCTAAAATGGGAAATTCCCATTTCCATAACAACCCTAGTCAGTTGTACAGAAAAAAGTGAGCCATGATTAAATCATTATTCTACACAAAAAGAGTGCATAGATGTTCTATGCTCAGGAGAGATCCCGAATCATGGCATTGGGCTATGTCAAGTGTGTGGAGACAATAGCAGAAGTGTTCCAGATAATAGGAAACAAATAGGAAAATGGGGAGCAGAAAGAGGACATCAGGACAGCGACTTGGGGGGGGGACAAGTGTACAAATGAGGATAAGACAAGTGCACTGAAAATTGGTCAATAGTGTTGTTATGCAGCTCTTAGTGGGGACACTCAGATAATAGGGGAACTGTCAGGGATCGTGTTAGAACTGGGCGAGGGTGGATGATTCTGGAGGGGAACCGGAGACTTAGCAAGGAGGGACCTTGGCCTCAGCAACTCAAGTGGAGTGCTGTGCCATTGCTGTTTGTCCATTTGGTCCTTAATTTCGTAGGAGGCGAGCAGGAAGTCTCTAGGGGGCATTTCAGGTCGATTTTAGACTAAGGACTAAAACAAGTATGTACAAGCACCAATATATATAATGGAGAGGGCAAAAGCACAAGGAAACAAAGGGGATCTGAATTGGAATGAAGGCATCCGAACGGGAACAAAGGGATGACAGAAGTGGAGTGGTACCGACGGTCATAGGGCAGAACCTGTGGTACATCCGAAAGGAGGTAAGGAGGGTGAAGCCCAGAGGGGCAGGAGGATGAGGGGAAGTGGGGATGATGACTAACTGGCTAGAATGAGAAGAAGCAGCAGTCCAAATAGGGATGAGGGGAAAATGCAAGAGATACATTACAAGCGGCGAAAGTGCTGAAGATGATCCATGGAGCTTGGAGGTTGCGGAGCTTACAGAGGTTATGGAGGCGGGGTTGAAAGTCCGAGGAATATTGGCAATGGTGTTTACATAGTATGAGGTCACCAATGCAATGGACTAAGGCTGAGGTGGAGTCAAAGTCCGAGGTAGGAGCTATGACGGAGGCTCGGAGCAAAGGTACAAGCGGTGTCCGAGTATGAGGTATGGGACAGTGGCGGAAGGTCGTAACTTGGCGGGAGGTCGGCAGAAGAGGGCCAGAGGGAAGAGAGAGGAAAGAGGAAGGAGGAAAGGTGTGGAGGAGAGGAAAGGTGTCAGGTCCGAAGGTGAGTATCGGAGTGCATGGGAGAAGAGTAGGAGGATGATGGAAGGGTGGAGGTGTTGTGAGGAGGAGTAGGAGGAGGGTGGCGAGAAGAGTGGTGTTCGGTCCGAGGTGAGTATCAGAGCAGACGGAGATAGGACAGGAGAGGGACGGAGGTGTGGAGGTGGCATGGGAGGTGAGAGGTGTGGTGCCAGGACTGAAGGTGAATATCGGAACGGACAGCGGTAGGGTAGGACTCCGGAGGTTGTGAAGAAGGAGGTCCGGGAGTCAGGTTGGGGTCGGGTATGCACGGATATGACAGATCGCTCGTCAGTCCAAGTCGAATATTGCCTGAAAACCTAGTCATAGACAAAGCTGAGGTTCCAACCCTCAGCAGCACATAGAGCTATATACACGAGTGACATCAATCAATCGGAAGAGATAGGATCAAAGGAACCAAACAGTGATCTGATAGAAAACAAAGTGAATGAACACTCGGATCAGGGGGGCAGAGTCGGATCAGGAGAAGGTGAGGGATTTACGATATATGAGGGCTGG